GAGAAAGATAGAAACACAGAGCGAGGCTTTGAGAAGACTGTCGAGAGCTGTCTGAAGGATAATGTGAGGGAACGCAGTGTGAAAGAGAACGTCCCGGGTCAGAACATGCCGACCAAAAATCCAATATTGCCCTCTGAATGAAAGAAACATTATCAGATTACATTACCAGCAAAAAATGTGTACTGGAATATGAAGGAAAGACTGAAGATACCTTCACTAGAGACTTTAAAGCATAATATTCAGATTTACCTCATCCTCTCAAACATTACTGCTTTGATTAAAAAGCACAGCCACCAGATACAGTCAGAGCTTTTGTGAATCAGCATTCAAGAAGTTCACAAAAATGTAGTCAAAATTCCTGTATTTTTAACGTATATATGACATTGAAATGAAATAAAATATAGAAAAACTGAATCTAATTTTAATTCAGCAAGTTACAAAGGCAACATTTCTCATTTCTGAGCACTAAAATGACTAAAACTAAAATTAATAAATAAAAACTACAAAGACATACTTAAAAAAATACTAAAACCTTAAAATTAAAATGAAAACAGAAAATATAAAAATAAAATATAATAGTGCATCCATTATATTAAAATATCACTGTGTGGCATTGGTATAAATAATATAAATAATGTTTTAATAATAAAAAAATGTATGTATGACTGATTCAGAGAGTAAGAAATCTTTTCACCTGATCATGATATCTCTGTTTATATGTTGAAACAAATACTGCTTTATTGTCTTTTTTTTTTTTAATCCCTCTCGTTAAAAAGCATCAACAAAAGGAGTTCAACTAAAAGATCTGGTCAAAATGCATAACCATTGTGTGTTTGTGTGCAGAAGTGCAGTGACAGATAACTCATTCCACACGTTCCTGGTCTCTACTAGTGATGAATATGCAGACAAACACATACCCGAGCGAACAGGAAGACAAAAGCGCCGGTGCCTCCGATCATGTGCAGGACGCTGTGTAGGCCGAGAGCCTGGCAGGGCGTCATGGTCCTGAGGAAAGGAGGCTCCAGGATGGAGCTCTGAACCTCTTTGGCACTGAAGGGCCGCTGGGAAGCCACCGTTGACTTGGCCTGGCCCTTCAGACGGATCACCGGCTCATATATGGTGTAGAGAGACGGCATGCTGGGGGCATAAACTACTGCTAAACTCTCCTGCAAAAACACAAATGCACATATGTTGAGATGCAGGCAAAGGAAAGTATTTTTCTTGTTCGGTTTGAAATGAAAGTTCAATGTTGCATGCAGGCTCTAACATAGAGATCTAAAGGTGCGATCAGATTTGCAGTGTGGGACTAAATGTGAGAGTAGTAAGTGGAACCGAGTGGTTTTCCTAACAGTGAGGTTTGCCCTCTCTACAGTAATGGAAATTCTTGACTGTCCTAAAACATAGGCTTCATTTTTTATGCTAATATATTATTAACCCTATAAAGCCTACCGTTTCATATTTACTAAGTGAATTTCTAAGGCCTGTAAATAATCAACATGTTCAAACTTTGCTGTTAAACCTGTTGCACACAATCATGCCTTCTGTCACCTGATTGATAGTTTAGAGTTTTTTTCAGCAAGTAAAAGGTCTTTTAGTAAAATTGTGCAAATGTCCACCTTCAGCTCTTGCTTCACGCGTCTTTTTGTTGTTAAATCTTTATTTATAAAGTAAAATATAAGAATATCTTTGATATTCTTAGTAATATTTCCAGATGAAGCAGCTTGGCTTTACTTGATTCTCCATCAATCATTTTGTAGAAAAATCAGTGCGTCTCAAATCTGATCATCAGGATCTTTTGAGGAGCGTTTATTTGTTCATCTCTCAATCATCATTGGATTGCATTGCATTATATGTTTTGATTACTATCTAAGCATCTCATCTTACTCAGACCTATTATTGGAGATACAGAGTGACTACTGATATTTATATCATTTTATGTAAGTATCTGCTGTACTGTTATAAAGATCTCATTGATTTACATTAGAAGCTTCAGAATTTCATCTTACTTTTTGGCCATATATAAATATCAGCATTTGCACCAAATTAAGTCATTTTTATTAGTTTGGGCCTCTGAATAAAAACTGATTTTTCTCTTCATATTCTCACTATATCAGACTATATGAACCATATATGTACCAAAACATGATACTCGATAAAAAAATATGCAAACTTGTTTTACATTTTGTCTAAAGATTTTCTTATTTATTTTATTGTTTAAGGTTCAATAAAGTCTTCCATTTCAAAAAATGTGATTTTCTGACTATTATTTCATATATCAGGCTGACAAGGTTAATGTTTTTCTTTCAATCTCGAGGTGAAATATCACTTGGACAGGTTACTGACAAGATTTCTTTAGATAAATGTGTACAATACTTTATATTAGCACTAGATATTGTCAGAAAAGATCTGAAAAAGAAGCATATTCATCCATGAGGAATGAAGGTTTGTGCTGAAATGACTTTTTCTGATGGCAGTAATTATCGAGCATGTAATGCATTAGCATAGGAACACCTGGAACAGCATGCAGACGTGTAAAATCACCGGTAATTAAGACGTCAGTGGGTAAAACTGCACAGAGAAGGCACTTCAACAAGCAGCAAATGATGTACAAATGGACAAATAATGTTGCCTGCTTTTCAGTGGCAGTGAAGGAGATAAACGAGCTATTGAACTATGTCACTGCCATATACATTTGCATAAAAGCCTTCTGGTGAAATATGTGACATTTGGGAAAAAATAAAATAAATTCATATTCATAGATGCAGTGGCTTACAATAAGAGGTGCGATGTCAATGTCTGTATTCCTCATGAGGAGCTCTCGTATCTGCTCACACTGAAGACCCTCCTGTGTCACATACTTGGATAGTGTCCCATGAGGCTTGCCGTACTTGCAGGGCATGATGGAGGTGAGGTCAGGACCGCTGGCAAACAGGTAAAAAGCCTCCGCAGTGTCAATTCTGGAACCTAAAACAACCAATAACCAGTTTATATGTAGGCAAATATCACCGTTTATTACTGTATACTGTATTGTTGCATATAAATGAAATGGTTAAATATCATTCGTCTGTGTTGTTTTAATGAAAATACAGTAAGGGTGGAAAACATGCCTTGATTCATTTAAATGTGTCTGCATTTTTCACATAAATATCAAAAAATACATGAACATCCTTTAAAAAATGAAGAATGTTTAAATGTTTTAAGATTTATATGAAGTTTTTTTTTGTCACTGTTATTATTGTTTTTAAATATTAGTATTTAGATTTAATTAATTTTTTATTTTGTTTTATTTTTTATTTATTTCCAGTTATTAATTTTAGTGCACCAATTTAAAGTAAACTTATTTCAGTTAGTTGACAAGGCAACACTTCTAATTTTTGTTTAGTTTAGGTTTTGGATCTAACGTTTATATTTTATTGTATTTTATTTCAGCTTCATTTCAATTAACAAATATGTTTCTAATAGTTATAATAGTTGCCATATCAGCTTTAACAAATAATATAATAAATACAAACATTTTATGAAATTCAATTTTGAAAAAAAGACCAACCAATTTGTTTATGCAACTCTAAAAAAGATTCATTAAATGTACTTATGATAAAAAAATTGTAAAAGTTTTTCTTTGTCCATTTTACAAAATAAGTCCTTCAAAGTTTGTCTTGATAAAAACCGTTGTCTCATGACATAAAAAAATGGCAAGACCAAAAACATATTTTACAGACAAGTTAGTGCAACAATATTGACATTGAGCTATATGTGAAATATGTGAATTGACAAACGACAATAGACAAGAAAGAATAATAACAGAGAGTGTGGTGGATGAAAAGCTGTGACCTAAAGACAAATAAACAAAGTGGGGAAAAAAACAAAAAAAACATTGAGGGCAGCACTGGACCACATAACCACATTAGAGCGTTTCACAAGTTGGGAACGGCTGGACTGGGCCCATTCATGACCTATTAGTAGCAACAGAATGGCTATTCTGTTAAGAAAAGTGTGTTGTGTGGAGGGAATGTGGAGAATCTGTGGCTCACACACAGAAACTTCCAGCAGCAGGAAGATCCCACGTTACCTACAACATCACTGCCGCTGAAAGCACATACAAATAATCTTTCCAACAACACGAAGCGGTGATATTTGATTACTATTTATATACTATTATTGTTTTTTTGTTGGTAACATTTGTCAACATTATTTAATGCATTAGCTAACTATTTCTCACAGCTTTTATTAATCTATGCCCCATTTTCCACCACAATAAAATGTTTTTTTTGTTATAGGACTTTTTTTTAGGACTTTGAGATATAAATTGAGAATTCAGATTTTTTTTTTTCCCCCACACAATTGCAAGTTTCTCTCTCGCAATTCTGACTTTTTTTTTGTTTCCACCATGGAACAAAACATTTTTAAAAAAAAGGTCATTGCAAGTTCAGAATTGCTAGAAAAAAAACAAAACAAAATCAAAATTGTGAGATAAAAAGACAATTAACTTATTTCAGTTAGTTGCCAAGTCAACATTTCTAATTTTTGTTTAGTTTGAATTTTTCAGCTTTTTTCAGCAGTTTATTTTCAGCTTTATTTCATTTAATAAGTATGTTTTTAATAGTTTTAGATTTAATTAAAAATATATGTGCGATTGATCTGATGAAAACCACAAACATTTCAAAGGGGAGATCATTATACTGTAGGGAAGCTCTATGAGAACTGGTTTCATACCATTAAAGAGCAGCAGTGTGCCCATATCCCAGCGTGCACTTGGGCTGGCCTGCTCCTCTGAGGAGTGCTGATAGTGTCCAAGCATACAGTAGGTCTTATTACTGTCTGATGACAAACTGGACTTCCTGGGCAGAGTGAAGTCTAGCGAGACGTCACACTTCCTGTATGTGGCACAGGAAGGCTTGATTAAAACATGATTCTGACTGCATAAAAACTGATGTCTGCAGCCCTGGTTGAACTATCCATTTAAATCATCCACCAACTAATTGCAGTGGCAGACTCACCGAATGCCGCTCACCCAGAGGGTCAGCTGACCGTGGACGTTCTTCCTGCCCTCAGGCTGCTGTGTGTACGTGAGAGCCAAGTGCTGCCACATGCCTGTCGTCAGCACACCGTCTCCAGACTCCGCCTGGGCCAGCAGACCCGCCTTCATCTCATCGTTTGGATCGATGCAGATCCTGAATTCATAAACAAAGAGTTACTTTTGTAATTTAGCATGGAAAACATAAACATACTTTTTGGAGCTCATGCACAGAAACTACAAGCAGCTGGAAGATGCCAACCTTGCAAATGAATAATTTTTTCCAAAAGCACACACAATTACATTCTCAAGCCAGTGTTATTTTACTATTATTTATTTATTATTATAGCTTTTATATGTTTTTTTTTTTTTTCAATCATTTATTATTTTGAAATAGATTTTATCTTTATGTATTTATTTAGATTTTATTATTATTATTATCATTATTAAATATTGCTATTTAGGTTTATTTTTATTTCCATTTTAGTTTTAGTTTTAGTTTAGTATTAGTATGTTGAAAGTGAGAAATCTACATCTAAAAAAAAAAATGTAAAGGTGAACAGAGTATTTTTTTTTACCCAACACAAAACAGCATTCACAACCTATTTTCTTTCCAAAAATTATTACTGTAATTACATTTAAATTTATGCATTTGGAAGATGCCTTTACACTGCATTCAAAATATACATTTGATCAGTTCATGCATTCCCTAAAAAAATTGGTAACACTTTTACAATAAGGTCCCATTAACTAACATGAACTAAAAATAAGCAATATATTTTTACAGCAATTATTAATCTTTGTTAATTTTAGTTAATAAAAATGCTCATGTTCATGTTAGTTCACAGTGCTACTACTGTTAACAGATATTCATTGCTACTTCATGTTGACTAATGTAGTTAACTAATGTTAAATATAATAATAATAATCAAACCCATGGCCTCAACTGTTTTAGCTACAGGAATGCTATTAGTTATTCAACATGAGGAAAAAAATATAATGTAGAATGACACTTAAATCTATCCATCAGGAGTAGCTAAGATGATGCAAAATAGTGTTTTATATCAGAAAGGAGTTATAGTTGATTGCAATTTGCAGTGGATTGTGTAAGATCTACTGCCCTCCTGAAACACCACTGGCATCCACTTTTGAGGAGGAAAAATGTACTTGGTGCAACTTTAAGTTCAAGTTTTGCCATGTCACTCACCTGAAGGTAAAGGCTCCGGTGGAGATGTTCACCCACACCTGAAGCATCAGCGCCTTAGAGCCCATGGAGAGGACATGGAGGAGACATCTGTCTGTCTGCTGCTCTGTGACATGAGCGGGACCATGCAGGGCCTCCTCTGCCAGAGTCGCCTCCTCTTCTGCAACACACAGTCAAACTAACTCAGCAAACTCCTCTTAGATATAGTGGCATGGTGTTCATGTTTCAGGGCTGTTATTGTTAACTAAAAATAAATCTATTCAAAAGCATATTTTTGGTAATTGAATTAAAGCTTAACAAAATAAAACAAATATTACATGAAAAACTTAAACTTAAAAAAATTACAAAAACTGAAATAAAAAATAAAGAAAAATAAAAGAAAAACCCGAATAAAAAACAAACATAACACTATTAAAAATTTAATTAAAACTATTAAAAACGTTGTCTGTAATTAAATTAATGATGAACTGAAATATTATATGAAAAACAAATTTGCCTTGGTAAATAACTGAAAAATTATTTTAAGGACTAATATAACTAAAACCTAAATAAACATAATTTAAAGAAAAAAAAAATATATATATAAAAATAAAAAAAATAAAAATAACCAACTCACATAACAACATTACTAAAACTTAAACTATAGAACTATTAAAAAATATTGTCCATAATTGTTTTAAAGCTGAAGTGAAAAATAATGATCAAAAACTTAAACTTAAAAAAACTTAAAATGTTGCCTTGGCAACTAACTAAAATAAAGTTTAAGTGCAAGTACTAAAAGTATTAAAACTGAAATAAAAAATAAAGATAACTAGAAAAGAAAAAAAAGACAAAAACAATCACACAACAATATTACTAAAACTAAAATTAAATTGAAAACTAAAAATACAAAAATAAAAGAATTCAAAATATTAATAAATGCTATAATATATAAATAATACTAATCTGCATTATAAATAATAATTTTATTCTAATCTGCTCAAAAAATAATGCTCTTCTTCTTACCCTTCTTATAACGCCCGTCCTCATCCTTCCCCGCTCGTACCCACAGCGAGGCGCTGAAGCCACTGGCCATGTGAGGCCAGCAGTTCTGTCCCACTAAGGGCAGGTGGAAGGGTGCCGTATGCCAGGGAGAGCTGCGCAGATGACCGGGCCTGCTCATGTCTGCTTCACCACGGCCCAGCGGTAATTTACCCCTCAAAAGAGTGTTTATGCCACCCTTACCACCAGCCGTCCCATGAGGCCTCATCCCAGGAGAGGAGCTCAAGCAGGGGACCCCTGTGCCAGGGATCATGGGAAAGGACATGAAGGAGAGCGGCTCTGTGTCTGCATTAGCCTCCACAATCTGAAGCAAGCCTCTCAGCAAGATCTCCTACAGATGAAAACAAAATAAAGATTTCTGCATTTCATGAAGAAAATATGAGCCGTGTTTGCTGAAATTTTGAGGTTTTATACTTATCATATAACATTGCATATAACATTGCTTATCATATATCATTCAAGAGTTTAGGGTCAGTAGGACTTTTTTTAATGCAAGCATGCATTAAATTGATCAAAAGATTTCTATTTCAAATAAATGCTGTTTTTTTAACTATTCAAAGAATCCTGAAAAATAAAATATATCACAGTTTCCACAAAAATATGAAACAGCACAACTGTTTTCATCATTGATAATCAAATGCAAAAACAAATCAGCATATTAGAATGATTTCTGAAGGAAGACTGGAGTAATAATGCTGAAAATTCAGCTTTACATCACAGAAATAAATTACATTTTCAAATATATTCAAATAAAAAGTAGTTATTTTAGATAGGAAAAAATATTTCACTATACTAATTACTATTTTTACAGTATTTCTGATCAAATAAATGCAGCCTTGGTGAGCAGAAAAGACTTCTTTCAAAACTTGTTGAACTCGAACAGCAATCCACACTGAAATGTGCTGCCCGACGTAATGCAATCTTCGCAAATATGACCAATTGACAGGTTTCATGAAATTCACACACTGATGACGTTCACGCTCTTCACCGAGTGCTTACACAGATACACACGGGAGCGTTTGAAAGCTGCGTCGATCAGCGGATCCCTAACATAAAAAAAAAAATATATATAAAAATAAAAAAAATAAAAATAACCAACTCACATAACAACATTACTAAAACTTAAACTATAGAACTATTAAAAAATATTGTCCATAATTGTTTTAAAGCTGAAGTGAAAAATAATGATCAAAAACTTAAACTTAAAAAAACTTAAAATGTTGCCTTGGCAACTAACTAAAATAAAGTTTAAGTGCAAGTACTAAAAGTATTAAAACTGAAATAAAAAATAAAGATAACTAGAAAAGAAAAAAAAGACAAAAACAATCACACAACAATATTACTAAAACTAAAATTAAATTGAAAACTAAAAATACAAAAATAAAAGAATTCAAAATATTAATAAATGCTATAATATATAAATAATACTAATCTGCATTATAAATAATAATTTTATTCTAATCTGCTCAAAAAATAATGCTCTTCTTCTTACCCTTCTTATAACGCCCGTCCTCATCCTTCCCCGCTCGTACCCACAGCGAGGCGCTGAAGCCACTGGCCATGTGAGGCCAGCAGTTCTGTCCCACTAAGGGCAGGTGGAAGGGTGCCGTATGCCAGGGAGAGCTGCGCAGATGACCGGGCCTGCTCAGGTCTGCTTCACCACGGCCCAGGGGTAATTTACCCCTCAAAAGAGTGTTTATGCCACCCTTACCACCAGCCGTCCCATGAGGCCTCATCCCAGGAGAGGAGCTCAAGCAGGGGACCCCTGTGCCAGGGATCATGGGAAAGGACATGAAGGAGAGCGGCTCTGTGTCTGCATTAGCCTCCACAATCTGAAGCAAGCCTCTCAGCAAGATCTCCTACAGATGAAAACAAAATAAAGATTTCTGCATTTCATGAAGAAAATATGAGCCGTGTTTGCTGAAATTTTGAGGTTTTATACTTATCATATAACATTGCATATAACATTGCTTATCATATATCATTCAAGAGTTTAGGGTCAGTAGGACTTTTTTTAATGCAAGCATGCATTAAATTGATCAAAAGATTTCTATTTCAAATAAATGCTGTTTTTTTAACTATTCAAAGAATCCTGAAAAATAAAATATATCACAGTTTCCACAAAAATATGAAACAGCACAACTGTTTTCATCATTGATAATCAAATGCAAAAACAAATCAGCATATTAGAATGATTTCTGAAGGAAGACTGGAGTAATAATGCTGAAAATTCAGCTTTACATCACAGAAATAAATTACATTTTCAAATATATTCAAATAAAAAGTAGTTATTTTAGATAGGAAAAAATATTTCACTATACTAATTACTATTTTTACAGTATTTCTGATCAAATAAATGCAGCCTTGGTGAGCAGAAAAGACTTCTTTCAAAACTTGTTGAACTCGAACAGCAATCCACACTGAAATGTGCTGCCCGACGTAATGCAATCTTCGCAAATATGACCAATTGACAGGTTTCATGAAATTCACACACTGATGACGTTCACGCTCTTCACCGAGTGCTTACACAGATACACACGGGAGCGTTTGAAAGCTGCGTCTATCAGCGGATCCCTAACATAACTGCTCATAGACGGATCTGCTGATAGACGCGGCCTTCAAACGCTCCCGTGTGTATCTGTGTACTTTAGACAACACTAACAGTAGGTGCCAGGAAAGAGCCTGATAATACAAGGATTAGATACAGCAGTTCAACATAATCAAGAAAACACAAAATTCATATGTTAAATGTCGAATATACAAGGGAAGTGTCAGGATTAACACTTAGTCGACTAGTTTTCCCACAACTGACTATATGATCACTGAGATCATTATTCTAAAGCTCTATATATCTAGATTTATAATAATAGTCTTTGTGTTTTGTATCTTTAACCTACAGTATGTAGAAACCACATAAACCAGTAAATTAGAGTGTTAAAGACAGGAGAGGTGCTCAGAAGTAAAGGATTGGCAATCAGAAACAAAGTACATAAAGAGATGCTTGAAAAAACCGAATGATAATGAACGTAGCATGGTTGACTCATATCAGCATTGACAATCCAAAGGCTGGCATTCTGCATCAGTCCACTTTCTGACACTGTGTTAAAAATAAACCTGTTCATAGGGTGTTTGATCACACTGATCACATTTGTATTGTGTAGTTTCAAACCTTTTCCTTTTCTGTGGAAAATATACAGATGCAGTGTTTTTGGTACACAATACCACATTTAAATGCTAAATAGGGTTGCACTTACAGTGGGCGGAGTCTTCTCCAGGAAGAGGCGTGTCAACAGGGCAAGTTCCTCCGCTGTGATCCTGTCACTCACCATGGCAACGAGCAGCTCCGTCAGTATTGTCTGGCACTCTGCATAGACCAATTAGACCAATGTTTAAGGGCTTATTAACATGACTGCTCTCAACAAAACAAAACTTTTTTTTGATCACCATGAAAGCAAAATGGACTATTCTTTTTTTTTTCGTGGAATATTGCACTATTTATCATATATATATATATATATATAT